CTTTGGTTTAAAATCTAGTTTGTCTGATACAAGAATGGCTATTCCAGCTTTCTTTTGATGTCCATTAGCATGATAAATGGTTCTCCACCCCCTCACTTTCAATCTGGAGGTGTTTTTAGGTCTAAAATGAGTCTCTTTTGTAAGCAGCATATCGATGGGTCTTGTTTTTTTATCCATTCTGATACCCTGTGCCTTTTGTTTGGAGCATTTAGTCCATTTACATTCAGAGTAAGTATTGATAGATACGAATTTAGTGCCTTTGAATTGCCTGTAAAGTCACTGTACCTGTAGATTGTCTTTGTTCCTTTCTCGTTGTTGTTACTTTTGGGCTGTCTCTCCACTCAAAGGATACCCTTTAATATTTCTTTCAGGGTTGGTTTAATGTTCACAAATTCCTTTAGTTTTTCTTTGTCCTAAAAACTCTTTACTCTTCTTCTATTCTGAATGACAGCCTTGCTGGATAAAGTATTCTTGGCTGCATATTTTTCCCATTTAGCACGTTGAATATATCATGCCAGTCCTTTCTGATCTGCCAGGTCTCTGTGGACAGGTCTGCTGCCAGCCTTATGTGTCTACCCTTATAGGTTAAGGACCTCTTGTCCCAAGCTGTTTTCAGGATTTTATCTTTATCTTTGAAATTTGCAAGATTCACTATTACATGTCAAGGTGTTTACCTATTTTTATTGATTTTGAGGGGGGGTTCTCTGTGCCTCCTGGACTTGAATGCCTGTTTCCTTCCCCAAATTAGGGAAGTTCTGAGCTATAAATTGTTTAAGTAAACCTTCTGCCCCTTTCTCCTGCTCATCTTTTGGGACCCCTATTAGATGGATATTATTTCACTTTATGGAACTGCTGTGTTCTCTCAGTCACCTTTAATGATCTAATAGTTTTCTTTCTCTCTTCTGCTTCATTCATCCTTGTTTTATTATAGCCTTTACTTGGGACTACATGTCAGTAATAGCATTTTTAATTTAGGTCTGACTAGATTTTAGTTCTTTTATTTCTATAGTAAGGGGTTGTCTAGTGTCTTCTATGCTTTTTTAAGCCCAGCTAGTATCTTTATAATCATTGTTTTAAATTCTAGTTCTGACATCTTACTTATATCCGTGTTGATTATATCCCTGGCAGTGAGTACTACCTCCTGTTCT